CCCGACTTGCACTCCGTTCAATTGTTGGCATGCAAGTGTATCAGCCCAGGACCAAGTCGCGTATTTGATTTGATTGATCGCAGCGCGACGACAATACAGCCCTCAGCAAACAGCGTGGTAGGTATTCTTTTTTTTCGACGAAACCGAGAATACGGTAATGCTTTGCTATCGGTTATTCGGAAATCGTAATAGCGAGACGCGCGAGACTCCGCACCTTAGACTGGCATTATCATCGCATTAATTTTCCATCCAGTTTGGCAGCAAACCCAAAGTTTATATTTGCTCCCAAAACAAACTTTTGCATTTTGTTGCCACACAAGGCGTATACTTTGGTTAGTGATAGATCCAATCGAAGGAGTGGTGCATGGCGCATCTATTGAGTTCCGACCGACTGATAACATACGTAGCAATTTAATGGACGGAATACGGTTGCGTGGTCTGGGCGGGAGCGGCCAAATCCCACACAGAGCGGGTTGATCGTGTGCAGCACAAGTTCTTGTTTTGGTTGAATAGCCACACATCCTCGCCATGTTCCTCTCTGTCCTATCCTTCTCTTCTGCATCATTTTGGTATCACATCACTGTCTGTCCGTAGAAACCAACACGACCTGCTCTTCCTGAGGAATATCCTGGCCGGTAAAATCCGTTCTTCTAACCTCCTTGGTAGATTTCCGCTCCATGTGCCGCCGCGATCAACCCGCTCACAGCGGCTCTTCGCCGAGCTTCCCTGGCGCGTACGGACCGTCGGGGATGGTTTTCTGCGCCGACTACCGAAGGCCATGAACGTGTTTTTAACTAGAAGTCCCGCTGATGTTTTTAGCGATAGTTTCACTTTTAGAGCCTAGAGGACACGTTTTTAACTATGTGAAAGGGCTGGAAGCGGCGTGATCGCATCTGCTGTGCTTTTAGTGTTTCTTGTTCACTAGGCTTTTTAGACTATTATTTATTTATTTATTTATTTACATCTCCTGTGTTTATAACTCTACGTATTTTTATCTTCAGTGGTGTGTGTGTGTGTGTGTGTGTGTGTGTGTGTGTGTGTGTGTGTGTGTGTGTGTGTGTGTGTGTGTGTGTGCGTGCGTGCGTGTGTGCGTGTGTGCGTGTGTGCGTGTGTGCGTGTGCGTGTGTGTGTGTGTGTAGGTGTGTAGGTGTGTAGGTGTGTAGGTGTGTACTGTGTAGGTGTGTAGGTGTGTAGGTGTGTAGGTGTGTAGGTGTGTAGGTGTTGTGTGTGTGGGTGGGTGCTGTTTTACTGTCCCTTTGACTTCGCCTTTTAAGTGGACTTATTGTCTGTTGGCGATTTTAAATATACAAATACAAATACAAATAACATTTGAATTATTACCGGTTTTGTCGAAAAAAGAATACTTACCACTACCACGCAGTCTGCTGAGGGCGGCACGTGCCACGGGCGGCTGGAGGGTCGCTATGAGCGGACGGCTCTGGCCAGCTGCTCGAATAAGTTGATTGCGCCGGATGAGGTTCCTGAAAAGGTCGTCTCTCTGCGAGAGGCAGCAAGACCCAGTCCGGCGGATAAAAGTCCGGCGGACATGGGGGATAAAAAGTGCAGCTGCCGACAATTCTGCTTGGGGAATGTCCCTGAAAAGATACTCCTGTGCAGGGGGTGTCGAAGTCTAGTAGGAAAATCTGGCAAATTCTCTGCGTGACGTCACGTCGGGGATAACCGACGGCACCTTGCACTGAAAGATACGGCAGAACGGCTATTTTTGAAAAATGATCAAAAATACTTTTGTGCTGTTATGACGCATAAAACGCTTATCAGCATGTTCCTCATCATGTGATAAAGGCATATCCGTGGTCGAAAATAGCTGAGCCCCTCCCAATTTCCAACCACCGACCTCATAAGCAAAGGATGTAAGCGTAATCCTTAAGGGCGACTTTCCTATACATATCCGTACATATGCGTCCTTATGGAAATCGGTAGTGTGGCGATTGGCGACGCGCGCGACATCTGTGTGGCGACCAAGTGGCGACTGTGGCGACACCTGGTGGCTGCTTTTCTGCTGTATGTAGGCATTGGGGTTTTGCCAGATGTGGTTCCTACTAGTGATGTCAATTTCAGAAATTTTGGAAACCAATACCAAACCGATACCGACCAAAACCACTGAGAGTATACCAAAACCGAACCGATTTTCAGAAATAGGGTGAAATACCGACTAGGTACCGAATTGAGGGAACCATCAAACAAATGCTTCAAACTTTCTCAAAACAAATGATAAGCATTAAAAGGTAATACTCTAAAATAAGGCAACAAAAACAAGTCAGGAAATCTCTAAATTATTTTCACTGCAAAAACATATAATTGTATTGTGTAACTATTAACAAATATTCAGGTCAGTTACTTAACTGGGATGTGGATTCAAGTCATCTGCATGAGGTGAATAGGACAAGAACTTGAACCCTGAATCTCATCCATGCCTGAACCCAAGTCAATTCAATTCGAGTCCAGTCAAGACAGGGTTACGTATGTTATCATGATCCAAAAATGGAAACCAAATGACAATGATGGGCTGGGCTATACCATTAATGTAAACAAAATCCATGATACCTACAGTTCAACTCTCAAGAAGCGATGGTGACGATAGTGACGCAGCCAATTTTTCATCATAAATAAATGTTTAACACAACAAATCTTAATAAACAATTACTTACGAGGCACACTGATAGATAGCAGACACCACTGTAATGATATCGCGATGAAAGCTAAGTAAAATGTCCATAATTTTACGGAATCATTGACACGTGTCACGTGGCATCACTTCCACAATGGCAGCCTTGCAGGCGGCGGCCATTTGCATTTAGGCACGAAACGCACGGAACTGCATAAAATAAAGTTTTTTCTTTTTTGCTTATGTAAACTTAATTAAAAAATATGATGTTCATATTTTGGTATCTTTAAATTAATTCAAGAAAGATTGTACGCCGCTATCGCTAAAAAATGAACCAGAAAACAATGTTGCTCAATTATTTTAAATTAGTTTTGGACTACATCGAAATTTGGCGCAGCTGCGACATTAAAAAGTTCTTAGATGTGTTCAGTTTTAAACTGCTAATTGCGAATCAAGCCAAGACCCAATTATATTTTAGGAATGCTTTTGATTACATTGCTAGCGATTTCTATCTGTTGAGGAGAGCAGGAAAGAGAACACTAAGTAAAGAAAATAGATTTTCCACAGGATCTTTTTGAAGTTGAACGAAGTTGAGAATTTGTGGGGTGATGATGAAGTGATGAATGCTGCCTTCAATATTAGATGATATTGGTGAAGCTAGTGCTATAAAAAACAGGGTGTTGACTTTTGGATAATGTAACCGCATTGCAGTGAAATGGAGAGCAAGACAAGGTCAAGATCAATCACAGACTTCTCAAAACAAAGTCAAATTTGTTACCAATGAATGCTTTGGAAATTTTGAGTAAGGTAGTTAGAGTATGTTTTCCAGTATACAGTGAGTTAAACATTGATACATGTTTAATGTAATGTATGTAATATTTAATGTATACATGTCTTGCACATTATCTTTTTTTTTAAGATAATTATCCTCATGGTATTGGAATTTGCTGGCACTGATAAGTTGCCCTTTAACATTGGTAGACTGATGTGTTTGATGTTGCAGTTAACGTGTTTGCCCATTTGTTATGACATCATGCATTTGGGAGAAATGTGTCATGATTGTCCTTTTTCTTCATCTAATGTCATTTAGCAAATCAAATTTGAGTTCAGAAGGTTTGTAAAAAATGTTTAAATTTTTTATGACAGTATAGTTGACTTTCATAATACCGACAAAATACCAAATGCTTTTGGTATAAAATACCGAATACCGAATCGGTATCGGTTCGGTATTGGTATACCGAAATTTTGGTAACCGATTGACACCACTAGTTCCTACTGCTACACCACTATGTTGACCCAATACTAGAAAAGTTATTGTGCTAGTAAAAGGCAAGCAAATTGAAAGTTGATTTATAAAATTGCTTATAAATGATTACGAGATAATAATAAAGAAATTTTGATTGAATAATTATTTAAATAATCAACCGTGAAACTATATTCTGGTAGGTTTAGTAGAAATAAGTCCGTGCAACCTTGTATTTAGGGCCTTGCTCCTGTGTATAGATAAGCACGAGATGCACGAGCCGCTGCCACAAAAGTGTTAACTGTAATATTGTAATAACCAATGAATATACCATGACAGTATGGGCTTGCTGTGTCTGAGCTGATTCTGTTGATGAGAAAGAAAATAATTTGGACATGATGACGAGGACATGTTTTCGTACAACACTAACACAACCTTTACTTTAATTGCCTTAGTTCTCTGCGATTAAACCACGCTATCGTTAATGTTCAGGGTTCTGCCATTTCCCCTACAAGCGGGGCCTCAGTATTTCCTCTCCCTCCCCCTCACACCAGTCGATACGAAACGGCATCCCCGAACAAAAAGCAGAAGTGCACCAGCAACACTACTTACGTCGCGCTATGGACTGCCCATGGTGGCTTGGCTTCACCAGGTTCCATCAGCTGGATGACCGTAAATGGGCGCACCGGGAACCTGCGATCTTAATAGTAATGTCGGGAACAGGGCCGGGCCGAGCACCTGCACAGTAAGTTCGACGTAGACTAGTCATTCGGCAGAATGCGCTAGCATCCATGGATAAAACCAAAAACCTGAACCTGATCATCGACCAATCTGGATCCATTATGTTATATTCAGAGGATGTTGTACTTCGCCAGGCCGTTTGAAAACTGACTAGAGTCGTTTTCAAACGGTCTGATATTTCAGGCGGTTTGCAAACGGCCGGTGTTTTCAGGCCGTTTCTAGACGGCCTGACTGGGTCAGGCCGTGTGCAAACGGACTGAGTTTTCAAACGGCCTGTAACATACACATTGTCCAACCTTGACGAGTTTATGAGGTTCGTCACCGGCAGATTGGCCGATTGCGCACGGGACAGTTGGTGTGCCGCGGCCAGCCGAGGCAGGGGCGGAGGCGGTGGGGGGCGCCAGAGACGCTAAATTCGGCCCCGACCGCGCTGCGGGCGCACACGGGCTGCGCCTCTTCACAAGACGACATGGTTGGGCTCCGCTGTCTGGTGGCACTCACGGCCATCGCAGGCGGGCTCGGCCTGCCGCAGGGCTCCCCCGAACCGGGTAAGACTGCTCTGGGGTAGTGAACTTCGTACCAGAACATGCATGGAGGCGCCCCTATAAGCTTCTTTGTGCCTCTTCTTCAGAGGCCCTCCTGGCCGTCAGAGGCACGCCGCACCCTTATAGGTCATACAGGCGCCCCTCATTCGCATGGAGACACCCCCATGGGCATCAGAGGCGCCCTTATAGACCTCAGAGGCGCCCCTCTTTCCCAATGACGCGCTCATATAGGCTTCGCAAGCGCCCCTCTTTCTATTGGCCTCAGAAGCGCCCCTCTTTCGTATGGAGGCGCCACTACAGCCTTCATGCCCCCCCCCCCCCTTTGCATGTGGGCGCTCCTATACTATGCAAATCAGAGGCAACCCTATAAGCCCAGTCACAGGTGCCCCTCTTTCGCATGCACGTGCCTCTCTTTCACATGCAGACGCCCGTATGGTCCTCACAGGCGCTCCTTGGTATGGGCATCATAGGCATTGAGGCGTTTTTTTTTTCTTGTGCATTGAGGCGCTCGTATGGACTTCATGGGCGCCTCTCTTTCGCATATATAAAACTATGGCCTAAGAGGCCATAGTCCAGGGGTCGGCAAATGGTGGGGTATGCCCCCTTTGGGGGTAATGGAGCCCTTCGATGGGGGGTGATGGGGCCTCTGAGAAGGTATGGAATTATAAAATTATGGAACAGGAAGGAATGTAATTTCGGTAAACTTGGTTGTCAGCAATGGGGTCTGGTAGGTGGGGGTAATGGCCCTGCCCTACGCGAAAAAAGGGGGCACGACCCCGGACCTACCGACCACTGCCATAGTCGCTCTCGTGAACCCCATTTCTATAGGCGATGCCGCCCCCTATAACAGTTTCTCCGCACCAATGTTGATCGTGGTTATATTGCAAATTCGTACCTCTCTGGCTAATTCAACAGAGAGCTATCATTCATCCTCCTTTGCTGGTTACTATTGGCAAGTTACCAAACAGACATTGGCAATGAAGGCCGGCGACTCATAACCAGAAATCACATAGGTACCGCTGCAGTACAGCAAGTAGCGACAGCGCGCCAGGATTCAGGAATGAAAATCAAACGATAACTTGCCAAGAGCTAGCGAATATCCCAGGAATTGCCACCCTTCAAACCAACACATGTCGGGTACAAATTTAAATGGTTGAGTTCGTGCGTTGGGAGCCGGACCTAGACTAAAGGCGTTGGAGAGGCGGACCCTTTCAGACCGAATTTAACTCATTTGAAAATGATTTTAAGAGTTAAATATTTATACCGTGTGAGTCAATAGGCAGCCAGCCATGGCCAAACCGGCTACCCACAAACCCGCATGTAAATTCGACCGTCTGGAGACGAGTCTCTAAGCCGACCCTGATCAGACCGACTCCAGTGCTCCAACCCCCTAAGCACACCCAGCCGCGGCTGGAGCCTGAGCCCCACTGACCTCGCCACCGCGCCGGGGCCCCGACCGAGCTCCCCACGCATCACGTGATACATAACAACCAATAGGCGCTCGCAGAGAGCACCCGCCACGCACTCGCCTGGAGGGTAGGCTGCGTTGAGGCGGCAGGCCGACCGCCGCACACTGGGCGGATCGCCAGTTCTACCACGACATGGGTTAAAAAAATCGAATTTTGTGGAAGTGCAATGAAACCCATACCATTTTGTTAAAAAAATGATCATACTACATTGTTGTGGTCTTTGTTTTCCAACACAATTGTTATTTAATGGCGACAATTCAGCTTAAACACGAACTTCGAAATCGTTTTGACCGGACCCGTCTCCCGCACTCTTCAACAAAGTATCCTTGATCCATTAAAACAATCAATTTGAGGAGGAATTCCGCATTTATACACCAAACGATAACTCTGAGCCTGAAAAACACTTCTAACTACATGAAAATGTCGAAATCTCCCTTAGTTATGATATATCTGCACCGCAAAGATTTAAAGACGAAAAAATAATTTCACATAATTGATGTCACACACAAATAGACTTAAAAAAGTACCCCAAAGTTCCGCTTCGAAAATCTCGCTACGTGTCAAGGAGCCATTGCACTACAAGATCAACAATCATTTCTTGCGACGTTTTGCGACTTTGGGTGTAGCAGCCAAAAATTAACCCGCGCCGGACCGGGCGCTCGGCGCCAAACTCGCCGGGTCGTTCGGTGTTCGAACACTCTCCTTCTAACTCGGCTCCTGGGCCACATAGTGACACGTAGTGGCATTCGAAAGAGCGCCCGAAAGTCCGGATAAAGTAATTTGTCATTTTTAGGTCAGTTGATGGTTAGATGGGCGATGGCGCCGTATGTGATAAGGCGCTGTTCACTACCGTCCGTTTCTGCCGGTATCGCACCGGACAGCCTGCTGTTGGCCTGATAACGTTGTGGTCCCACTAGGCACTAACCGCGCCCGCCACCCTGGCCTGCCGGCAGACCCTCTCCAGCTGGGAGGCCTGTTCGACAACGACAGCTCGCTGGCGGCCATGACGGATCTCCAGCAGCGCCAGTGCCTTCCGCCGAGGTTCGACCCGAGCAGGGAGCTGCTGGTAGTGGCCCAGTGCAGCCAGCGGCCACACTGCCCCGGAGTCCCCATCGATGCCGCCATCTACGAATGTCTCGCTAAGACGTAAGATACCAGACCCTTATCCAGGCCCACGACACTCCACTTTTGATGACATCCCAAGGGGCCTCAGGACAATAATGGCGCTGTGCGCCACAATCGCTCCCAAACTAATTGCCACCAGCTGCTATTTTTCAAAAATATTGAAATAAAATGTGAAATAATTAAAACATTGTAATAAAGTTGTAAATTAAATCCATATCTTATCTAAAAACCTACTGAAAAACGATTTATTCATAGAAAAAATGTAAGCTTGATGCGTTTTTACGCTGCCTTCCTGCTGCTGCAGAGGGTTTCTTAAATCGTGTTTATCTTCAAAACCGGCCATTTTTTAGCACATTGCTGCTTTTTAGTCGCTAGAAAATTAGTTGGGCTAAGGGCTTTCCATTGACATCAATGGTTGAGCGGTATGTGTAGAGAGCCATCAATAATCTTCAAATGAAGTTAGTCATTTTTACGTTGCAAAGGAATGGAGTACCCCTTGCGACCATCAGGGGTGATGTTACTCAGGATCTGTCTGATTGGTCTGCGGGAGGGTGAGAGTATCTTCTATACATGCCCTTATCCGGACCATTTTAGTTGGCTTAGCGGCCCGTTGCATTTCCGCCTAGCTTTCCCGCCACTGAGGCATGGTGTACTGGTATGGCATGGTATTAACTGAGACGCGCTGAAATGTCTATAGTTTGTGGTGATCGGTCACCTATTATCGCTAATCCGGGATCGAGAGGTGAGCGGTTGCCAATTGTCGATCGACGCCGCCAAATGGTTGTTAAAAGTTGATCCGTCTGTTTTTTTTTCGTCTCACCAGCACTGGTCTGATCACGAGCGACAAAGTAAACAAAGCTGCATACGCCGCGTTCATCAAGAGCCACTCGACTGACGACCGCTGGACGGCGGAGAAGCAGCCACTGGCGGACATGTGTCTGGCGGCGGTTAACACCTCGCTGACCGGCGGCCAGCAGGCGGTGTACCTCTTCTCCTGCTGGCAGTGGAGTCTGGTGCTGGACTGCGACCTGCACGAGCCGGCCGGGCGGCGCTCGGCGGAGGCGCGGTGCCGGCGCGCCGCCTTCCTGGCCGGCGACTGTCCGCTCAGCCCGCCGGCCGTGCTGGACCAGCTGCCGGGCGTGGCCGCCGAGCGCAGCTGGTCGCAGTGTGCCGCCGCCCGGCCGGACGGGCCGGCTGGGGCCGCCGACCGGTGCCGCCGACTGGACGAGGCCGCCGCGCGCCTGCTCGCCTGCCGGCTGGGCCAGTACACCGGCTCCGGCGGCCGGCTGGAGCTGGGCCGGCTGCGAGCCGACGTGTCCGCCAGTCCCGGCGCCGCTGAGCTCAAACAGGCCGCGCTGCAACTGGTGGACGAGTGCGGCCGGCGCGCCGGCAGCCACGTGGACAAGTTCGTGGACTGCTGGGCGAAACGGGGCATCATGACGTGCGCCGTGGCCGAGGCCGCTCAGCGTGCCGGCGAGTATCAGCCGTGCTGAGCGAGCCGTGCCGGCGAGTACATGCTGAGCGAGCCGTGCCGGCGAGTATCAGCCGTGCTGAGCGAGCCGTGCCGGCGAGTATCAGCCGTGCTGAACGAGCCGTGCCGGCGAGTATCAGACGTGCTGAACGAGCCGTGCCGGCGAGTATCAGCCGTGCTGAGCGAGCCGTGCCGGCGAGTATCAGCCGTGCTGAGCGAGCCGTGCCGGCGAGTATCAGCCGTGGTGAGCGAGCCGTGCCGGCGAGTATCAGCCGTGCTGAGCGAGCCGTGCCGGCGAGTATCAGCCGTGCTGAGCGAGCCGTGCCGGCGAGTATCAGCCGTGCTGAGCGTCCGGCGAGCGTCCGATGAACGCCAAGCATGGGGCACCGAGGGCTCTATCTATGGGCTATGGGCATTGGTTTAACGGTTTTGGGGGATACAAGACTACTCATCCCTATCTCCTATCGTGGCAGGGTACGTCCAGTGACGTCACGTAATTGTAGCATGCTGATTAGGCAATGGCTCTATCACCCGACTGTGGTTTCGAAGTACTAACTATATGTAATCAAACGCACGCGCGCTGACTATGGAAGTAATATGGCTTAAACGACAGAAGACTGCAGTGCTCACTGCTCTGATTATTCTTGAATGACTTATGCTTCGATTAAATAAAGTGAAAAAGTCATTTAGGATTATTGTTTGTCTTGTTTTGGGCTTCATCACTGGATGCCAATTGCCAGTTTCATATCACTGTTGTCACGTTTTCCAGTGGTGATGCGCTAACTTTTGCGGTTCTTGCAGCCAATAAGGGTGTTTCACAGTGCGATTCAGCCGCATCGTCGATTTGTAAGGCCATAAACCACCACGGAACATCATGCCAGCAGCTCCTTGGCGTGATAGCTGGCAGTAGGGCTCCGGAGGAGTCGGGAGTTGTCGACTCGAAGTCGGTCGGAGTCGACTTAATGACGAGAGAGAGAGAGAGAGAGAGAGAGAGAGAGAGAGAGAGAGAGAGAGAGAGAGAGAGAGAGAGAGAGAGAGAGAGAGGGAGAGAGAGAGAGAGAGAGAGCATTTATTCACACTAAAACAACATAAAATTCATAAATAACACAAGCAATTGGCGCAAAAGTGCTATGGCGCTTAAATCTATGGCGCCGCTTGCAATAATGGTAACAAAATGAACGAAACTAAACAAAATGAATGAAACCGCGTGCCATGACTTAAGGTCAGGTGTGGGGAATCAAGCCAAAGGGGGCCTTCTCAAGGTGCCGTTGCCAAGATAAAAAGTTTAGCGGCTTTGGCCCATGTTTGGGAAAAAAAGCCCAATTTAGCAAAAAAAGTGTAACAAAATCATTTATATTTGTATCTTGGGTGATTGTGGCCCTGTCCTATCTTCCCTGGCTGTAGAAAGGGCCCGGGCCAAAGAGGGACCATGCCACGTCTGAGAGGGCCCATTCAATATATGAAAGGGCTCAGGCAAGGTTCGGGAGGTAACATATTATGCCTGAGACGGAGAGGGCCCATATCAGTTATGGCAGGGCCCACAGCGGTGCTGAGAGGGCCCTTAGAAGGAGTGCGAGAGCCTGTAAAATGCCTGAGAGGGCCCATACCGGCCGTGATAGGGCCCACATCAGTACTGAGAGGGCCCACAGCAGGGCCCATAACAGTACTGAGGGGGCCATCACAAGATATGTGAGAGCCAGTGCCCTGACATATTACTGAGGGTCATGTCAGTCAATATCAATCATGGAAGGGCCCCCAGCAGTACTGAGAGGACTGTTGCAATGACTAGGAGGGCTCGTACCATACCTACCTGAGAGGGCCCATACCAATCATGCGAGGACTTGCAGCAGTACTGAGAGGGCCCTTGCAAGAACTGGGAGGGCCCGTATCATTCCTGAGAGGGTACAATTACATACCAGTCATTAGAGGGCCCACAACAGTGCTGAGAGGGCCATTAATAGGTCTGGTAAGGTCTTTAGAAATTAAAATGTCTGAGAGGGTCCATACCAGGCCTCAGAAACCCCCTAGTAGTATACAAAGGCCCATACCAAGCCTTTGAGGGTCCCTTCCAGTCATGAAATGGCTTTTACCAGGCTCAAATGGCCATGCTAAACTGAGGATCTACCAAACTTCAGGAGGCCCATAAAAGGCCTCAGGGCCCAAACCAGGCTTCAGAAGGCCCATACCATGTCTGAAGGGGCCAAGGCAAGTCTTTGAGGCCCCTTCTAGGCCTCAGAAGGTTCATAATAGACTTAATGGGGACCTAACAGGTTTCTAAAGGCCCAGACCAGTCCGCAGAGGGCCCCTACAAGGACTCAAAAGGCCAAATTCGGGTCGCATAGACCCTAACAGACCTCGGAAGTCCCAGATCAGATCAGGGCACAAAGTGCCTATAACAAGCTTCAAAAGGTCCATACTAGGCCTCATGGGCCGTAACAGGTCTCCAAATGCCCATTCAAGACCTCAGAGGGTCCATATCCACTATCCAGTCTCGGAGGCACACAGGAACTAGGTCTTATAGGGTCCCTATTAGGTTCAGAAGGTCCATATCAGTATCAGAGGGCCGGCCTGGGCCTCAGAGTCTAGCCTATACCAGGCCTCGATCTTAGAGAGCCAAGAAATAATGCTATACTGCACTGATGCTGGCACGCAACATCCTCACACCGCTGAACCGGCTCAGCAGGGAGCTTCAGAGCACCCGTCACAAAATCACTGGAACTGGTGAGTGACCCAGGAGCACCTGCAAGCCCAGCGGGATGACGCCAACAGCCTCGCAAGAACAGTCATCGAGCAGGCCAAGCTGATCTCGAGTGGAAGAGGTCGCGATGCCGCGAAAAAAAAAACGGCCGCCGCTGCGCAAGACAGGGCCAGCCGAGCCGCACCACCCATCTCCACCAGAACTCAGAAGAATGCATACGAGTGGGGTACATCAAGGCTCTGGATGCCGCGAATTCTCAACTCTGCATCCGCTTCCAAAAACAGGATACTCAGCATGTGGCCAAGCTCGAGAGCCTCCTCCTGAGTCCACCAGACAGGACCAGGGGGATGTCGTCTCGGTTCTCCCCATGTATTATTCGCCAATCAGCTTAACACTACCAGTGACGTCACTGGTGGATCACCAATCGGCGCCGGCCGGCCGGCCGGGCCTAGGACAAACGCAGACGTTTTCAGAAAAGCGTAAGCGGTATAGATACAGTCGTGGATGGAGTTTTGCTGTGATTCGGCTCTCCAAGAGTGCGTCAGCGGACCAGGACCAGGATAAAGGTCATAGTGAACCGGCATCTAATAAAATCCGCTCACGGCTTAACAGCCGACTTCGACCCTTCGCCCTCGTAAAATACAAAAGCTTGCCGGTTATCAATCCATCTGCACAAGGCCATATACAGCATCTGCATCTCCTCATCTGCTTACTGCCTATATCGACCAGTTACTGCATTCGTTATGGAGCGGCTCACGGCCGATAACACGCCGGGCGTGCGCTAGCCGCCGGTGCTAAGCGCTAACCATTGAGTGCGCGTGGCCGACTGCCGCCCCGATGGCGCTGGCCCCCGGCACGGACACTGGCGCGGCGCCGCTGACCCATGGGGGGGGGGGGAATTGCTAGAGCCGGAATAGGAATAGAAGCCGGTATGGGATTGGGATGGAAACTCAGCGAGACTAAGGGATTGTGTTGTGCCTTCGGTAGGCCCCCAAAAATCACCGGTGTAGTGCCCTCAGGGCCGCTGGTTATGAAGCCTTTGGAGGCACTGGTGTGGGCCCTCAGAGGCATTGGTGCGGGGCCCCGGAGGTGCCACTGTGGGCCCTCTGAGGTGCTAGTGTGTGGCCCTCAGAGGCGCCGGTGAGGTTCCTCACAGTTGCCATTGTGGGCCCTCAGAGACACTGCAGTGTGGGGTCATCACAGTCGGGTGTGGGACCCTTAGAGCTGCTGGCTCGAACCCTTTATAAGCAGACAGGGGCTCTCAGAGACTGACAAAGGGCCCTTAACCCACGAGCCGCTGGGGGGGGGCATAAAGTTGCCCCCCCTTTACGTTTTGTGAAATATCTCCGAAACCTGATGAGCTACGAACGTGAAACTTGGCATAGCTTCAAATGAATACCTAGGCAATGTTTGAGGAAAGTTTGGTGGTTGTAGCGCCTAAGATGACGTCACAGTGACGTCATAAAGTTTTGTCGTTTTCCGATATGGACCATTTCTGATGACGCTGAGCATGAAACTCGACTGTAAATTAACTAGACAGCACCTGCTGTCATCCTAAAACATCTTACTACACTTCCATCTAGTTTCTGACCAATAATCGGCCCTTTATATTCGGTCCCATATATGTGATGTATCGTGAGGAATATGAGAGTCGCAAATCTATAATTTCACTTATGACGTCACTGTGACGTCATTTCAAATGGGATCGACACCAAATTTGGACACAACCTTGGCTAGGTATTCAGGAAGATGTGTGCAAAGTTTCGCTTCTCTATCTCTTCGCGTTGCGACGATATCGTCGCAGAAGTAAAGGGGGGCAACTTTATGCCCCCCCCCCCCCAGCGGCCGGCGGGTGGCGCGGAGGCCCAGCGGCCGCCGGGTTAAGAGGTCTGCGGGGTCTTCAGGAGTCCTGTGGAGTCCGCAGAGACCAGCAAGGTACTCTCAGACGCCGGTGGGGGCCCTCAGAGTCGTCGGTGCGGGGCCCTCAAAAGTCATCTGTGAGTGGCCGTCCGATGCGAAGGTCCCGTCTTAGGCCGTCAGAGGCTCCGGCGTTGAGCCCTAAGAGCCGCCGATATATGGCCTTAAGAAGCACTGGTTTGGGCCTTTGGAACTTCATTCAGGGGTGTCGGTTGAACTCAGAGGTGTCAGTGTGGGGCCCTCAGCTGGGCACTGCTTTGGGGCTTTCACAGCCGCCGGTGAGGGCCCTCGCAGGCGCCGTTGTGGGGGCCTTCAACTATTGGCTTAGGGGGTCATCACAGGCGTGTGTAGAACCCTTAGAGCTGCTGGTCCGTGATAGGCCGGTAAGGGCCCTCAGAGGCCGGCAAGTAGCCCTCAGAGGTCGCCAATGGGCCCTGAGAGGCCGGCAAGGGGCCCTCAAATGCCGACAAGGAACAATAAAAAGCCGGTGTGTGGCTCTTATGGAGAGAAGTGTGGCTATTCGGAGCACATAAGGTGTTCTTTCGAGCCCTGTGGGGCCCTTCTGAGTCGAAAATGCCAGCGTGGACCCTCAGCCGCCAATTGGCGTCGCAGGGCCCCAGGGCCCCTCGGACCCTGGGGCTCGGGTCGGCAATGTATCGGCAAAGAAATCAGCTTTAGGTGGGTAAAAAAGTTATTTAGAGTCATTAGTTGTCGTTTCGTTCAGTAATAGCAACGATAACAAGGCCCTATATACCGATATACCGAATGATAAAGTGCCAAATGTATGTACCCGACGTACGGCTTGGAGCCGGGCGCCGCGCGGTATCCACCAGTGACGTCACGCTAATGCTTAGCGACCGGTCCATTGGAAATTGCGGGATGATTCTACCTCTCTTATACGGCCTTGGACAGGACTCGAATCATCGCCACCATCAAGTCTTCATCATGGGCCGGAGACCTGAACGAAGAAAAACTCCACGATGATCTCATGGCCTTCCGAAGGCTGGGATAGTTCTCCACCCTGGATGAGGCGGTCGCGCTGACCGAAAGACGGAAGGACAGCAGCAGCC